GGGTCGCCGGTCTCCTGACCTGTTCTCACTGGCTGGCGCCCCAGGTTCTGCCGTTAGGGACTGCGGGACCCCAGGCCGCAGGTGGAGGGAGCGGGCTGAGCGCTGGCTCTGCGCGGGGGCCGGCCAGGGGCACTCGGACGGGCCGCTGTGGGGGGCGCCCTGGACCTTGCGCGCTGCCCGCGCGACGCCGCCAGGTAGTCCCGGGCTGCACCGGCAAGAGGAGGAGCTTCGGCGGCGGCTGGCCGCTTCCTTTCTGCTGCAATCTCGGCCGGCTCGGCCGGGCTCGAGTCCGAACTTAGCTGTGTGTGGTGCGTTGAAGGGGACGCGGGCGAGAGTGTTTAGTCTGTCATTTGTACAGCTCTTAGCTCTGGACGTCGGGGAGTCCGGGCTCGAACCAGCCCCACCCCCACTCCGCTTGGGACGCGCAGGTGGCTCCCAGGCCGTCGCCCGCTGTAAAGCGAAAAACAAAAAGAAAACAAAACTAACGTTCAGCAGACGGGCTGCCGCAAATCAAAAAAACCCAAAGTTTTTATAAAAAGCTCTTCTCTTTTGCTCCCTGCCCCCACTCGTGCTACACGTAAAACTTCAGTGTCCTAGGATAAAGTCACCGATTTGGAACACCCATCTCACCCCCTCCCTCTCCCCCGGCTAGAGAGAGACCTGGAGGGGCGGGGTCCCTGTAAATTTTTATTTTTTCCTCCGCTCTCTTTGAGAAAGGCAGCGGTATACAGGACCACAGAGAGCACGTTTGGGGAAGGAACCAACGATGGGCCAGCAAGTGCCCGGTGTGTCATCCTCCGCCAGGTTCTGGCCCTTCCCGAATCCGACGCCTCTAGCGGCACGTCCCTCTTCCCCGCAGGGTCTGCAGTCCGTGTTCCCTCCGCCTCCGCCCCCAACCCTGCAGTGCCCGAGTCGCCTCACGTGGCATGTCCGAACCCTTCCAGCCCCTGGGGGCGCCTTGGTGATAAGGTGCTTTGGAATAGAAAAATAACCATTTGCAAGTTAATGATTTTCGACCTCTCTTCAGCAGAGTAGAACTCCTGTGTCGCGTTTATTTTCCCCCTCCCTTCTTTCCCTGGAGCCGGTTTGTCTGTGATGGGAAATCTCCCACAACCCGGAGCAGCGTCCCTAGATTTATTTCATGAAACTTTAAGACTTGGAGGGTAGAAGGGGAGGGTCCCTCACGAACAGAAAGAAGAACGTTGGTTTGTTAGTCTTCGCATATGCAGACAAAGGACTGAACTATTTACAAAATAATTGCTTTGACTTCTTGGAAATAGATGAAATTAAAGTCCCCTTCCTGGGTATAAATGTTAACTGAGGAGGATGGTGATATATGAGGAATTTTTAAAAACAGTCCTGATTTCATATTAGCTTAATGTTTTATATACTTCTACAACGTCTGCCATGAGGTAGTTTTAGATAGTTAACTTCCAACGGTACAAATTTTGAAAGTTTAGATAAATCTGTTAAAAGTTTAAGTCCACATTTAGGCTATAATTATACGCTCTTTTAATGGTAGCCAAGTGTATCATCCAAACCAAACAGTAGTTATTTCCCAGGTCTTCCCGGATAGCCACACCCACTAAATTCTAAATCGAAATGATACTTTTCTCTTTCCTATTTAAATTGAAAAACCTATAAATTTGCACACACATACTCAGGCACCTGCAAATGAAAAAAACAAGTAGATGTCTTTAGGCTATTGAAATTCTTTTAGTATTGAAGTTTGGCCAGAGTAACAAAGTAGAAAGGATTCCAGTAAAACATTTACTTTTATCTTCTTTATTTGTACACCGGGATGAAAATGGGGACCAGATGAGAAGGGTCCTAAATGCAACACTACCAACTAGCTGCGGTTCTCTGACCTCCTCCGTCCACCGCACACCACCATGGGGAAATCTAAGTGGCTGGGCTTTCACCTAGTTTTTGGTGCTTTGAGTCATTTTTCCCTTAATCTTTGAGTAAATATTTGGGTTGTCATTATGCATCTATACACTGAAAAACTGATTTTTTTTTTAAGAAAAATAATCGAAGGACATGCTTGACTGAAAGGTGTTCTCCCTCTGCTATATGTTAATACAATCTTCTTTGAGGTGAATTTAACCCACGGTACCATAGTTTCTGACTTAAGCGTGAGTAAGATTCTAGCTCTGGTTTTGGTGCCATTGAATCCTGCTTTATATTACTTCACAAAGGCATGTGTCAAACTGCCTTAATTTGATTCCTTTAATGACATAAAGGAGACATGTCTCTTCAAAGATTGCTTGTACGCTGAAAACTTCAGTTACTATTTTCAAGCCCTTTATTTACATCCTCTCTGATACAAACATTGCAATGATTTCATTTATGCGTGACAACTTCAGTAACTTTTATGCCAGGGTTTTACAGATCACTGCTGCCACATAGTGCTTCTGGGAATCACCTAAGTCACACTTCAGTTCCTACACCACAGTCATTTGGAGAATCCAGCTTAATATTGGTGCATTTCCTCATTGTGCATAAATATCACTGACATTAGCATGAACAGATTTAATATGCTCAAAACACACAGAGCTAGTGGCTAGTTTATCGGACAAAGCCCTTGAGCCGTCGTACCTAAGACTTAGGAGATTTATGGATTGTTAAATACCTGGTTAGGCCAGATTAGTGTATAACAAAAAAAAAAATCCACATTTATATGTTCAAGAAATAAAGAATCACCAATAGATAGAAATTAATAACACATGATTAAGTAAATTAGTCTTTCTACCTCCAGTAGCTAACCTTGCAAATAAATTTTAGGCATCATTATCAGAGTAATTTTTCTAAAACTACAGTTCTAATTCTGTCTCCTCTTTTTAAACTCTTTAATGGTTTACATTACATTGAGTATGGAATCTCGATTTCTTCTTTCATTCATGCAACAAATACTAAGTCCTTTAACTCCTCTGCTGGATACTATGGAAGACTCAAGAATACCATAGAGATCAACATGGGAATGCCTTCTACGGACCTCCCAGTCTATAACTGCCCTCAGCTTTCCACCTTTGATTGTTCAGTTTTTACCTTAGCTTGCCCTGTCCTGAGGCCTGGGCTCCAGCCACAAATATCTGTTTGCCAAGTCAGATCTCTTTTCTCCAGGTTTTCACTCATGGGGCCCTCTTCTGAAAATACTTCCTTAAATCCACCCCACCTCCCACAAACCCTGCTTACCACAACCTAGGGCCAGGCCAATTCCTAATATCTGAAGGGCCAGAGTGAATACAGATGGAGGCCTTATACAACATTTTTAATTATTTAAAAGTTAAAATGTAAATCAACAGTAGAAAACATATATCTCCTAGGCACCTATCTTGTTAAGTACATTTTTATCAAGACAAAACAATACTATATGTAAAGTTAGGTTTTTATATAACTGACATGATAAAACATCAAAGACAATTGTATTTAATTGCACATATCTGGATATTCCATTGATAAGCTGACTGGATGGAGAATAAAATAAAGACATATATTAATTTCCTAGCTTTTATCTCAACAAAATTACTGCTTATGTCATTATAATTAAGATTGTCACATAATTTGTGATCACTTGAAACAATCCAATTATTATTACTAAAAGGCACAATTCTAAAATACGAATTTGGCGAATGTTAAAATTTTAAATAAAATTATTTACAGCTGATTTTAAAAACTTGAAAATTTAATTAAATGTTATAAAGTATTTTATTAAAGTAAAACTATTTGTAATCCTAGAATTCAATATCCATAAATTTGCCAATGTAAGGAATAGCAACACACTTTGCAAGTTTTGTCTATACCTACATAAATACAAATATAAGTCATACACATTACTTAATATTGCAAAATGTTCCTCAGCATTTGTATGCAACTACTGTGAATATTGCCCTAATAGATGAGTAGCTCGGGACTCATGAAATGGAATACAAAAAGAAGCAGATGACTAAGTCGTTATTTAGGAATCCATTGCATTCCTGTAATCTGAGGATATGGATTTGACAAGTTAGCTCATTTGTCTCTTCTTCTCTTCAACATTCTACTAGTAAGATCCTCTTGGTCTCCTAAGTGATATTGTTCTCCAACATCAGAAACAGCACAGCCACAGAGCTTCTCAACAACAGTCAAGGCCATGGGACAAGGCATATGAAGCCGTGTTTCTTTCCC